CTGTATTGTTGATTACAAATGCAGACTTCATTAGCATAAGAGACTTAAAACATTAAAAATATCTTACCGACCCCAAACTTTTAACGGAAATGTGTAGAGGTGGGTATATATTTTTGATACCATAGAAATTTCATAATTCTTGTCACCAGTGTCAGTATCACAAAAAACAAATACTAGCCTAAATAATAATAAAAAAACTAAAGACAAGTAAAGAGTCGGTGATTATATAACAATAAAAAAACTAATTACACGCAATAGGACAAAAAAACTACAGTAGAACAAATAAATACATGTTGCAAGCATTGTATAAAGTACAATGTACAAGTGTACATGTAAAGTACATGTACAAAAACTGCATATTCTTCACTGTGTAAATTAAATATATATTTCTTCTTATTAAAGTTACAAAAGTGATATAGTCAAGAGCAGTGAGAGATTTTTCTCTCTTTTGTTGTTTGATTAACATTATTGACAGACAGCAGGAATATTAGACTGCTGTCACTTTAAGAGCTGCCCAGATCCAATATATTGTTACATATGCATTGTCTCAGCCGTTTGCTTTCACTTAAGACCTAAATTACTGTGTTTACAAGGACACTTGCAAAGATGGCCATTTTGACACATACAAGTGTATGTATTTAACCATTCAAGACCTATAAAGTGGTTCAATAATCCCATGCCCTATGAGCATCGTCTTCATGCGCATATGGCGAAATGAGTTATCTTTTGCTGCTGATTGCATTTCAACAGCTTAAAATCACTTGTTTTTTAAAAGCCGCAATGCTTAAAAATGTGTGCAAACGATCGTGTTCATGACCACGTAGCACAGCAACGTAACGTGAGCGTGTAACCACGATTCAGACGATAGTCCAAAATCTCTACCGGTTGACAATTTTCTACCGGTTAATCGTGTCTACAAGTATATCGCCCACCCCTAGTAATGTATGCATTTTTGATGCTTATGTCCAGTTACTCTGTGTATTTTCTGTGCAGTTCATCTTAAATAGGTACAATCTCACATTACAAATTCTTACAAAACCAGTTTTGCTTCTTCACTGAACAAGCCGGAATAAGGTAGTGTTAAACAATCTGGCATTAGATTTCACAAATAATGGTTTGTAGTTTAGGCAAAAGGGTAAATCAGGTCACTAAGAGAGTAAAAATAAATGGTAGAACAAAAAAAGTGAGCAAATCTGAGCAACAGTAGTTCTCCTGAAACAGCTCAGTTTAATTAAGATTTTATCTCCCTGGCGGCACTCGCAAAGATTTCACAGGTATCTGTAAGACATGATTCATTTGCACAGTCATATCCTATCCAACACGAGCATCTCCTTGTGAAGGTGATTTCCAGTTATAGATCTGCAGAAGGTTATGTACCAGGCCCCTTGTGAGTTTGACCTTTCTCCCTTGACCTCCCTGTGCTCAGCTGGCAGGAGTTTATGGTGTAGTTTGGGTGGGGTTTGCTTCTGAAAACTGAGAAGTGTTTCTGGAACCTTTCCATGAGAGGTGAGCGGCACAATAGAGCTGTAACTTGACATGCCCACTTCTTATCTGAATCCGCTTACTGATAGCAATGTGCTGTACGCACGACACACTCAACAAGCCTTACATTCCTCATCCAGAGAACATTCTCAGTTTGATATGGATGACATTCTTTGGCTGCTGTCGGAGGTATTTCCAAAGGGAACTAGCACAATCACAGAGGAACAGTCTACTAATATTAGTGCTCTGTAATGTTGAGTAATAAACTTCATTTGTTTTGAATAAGACTGCAAAAAATGATTTTTTTGTCTTGTTTTTTAGTAAAATATCTAAACATTCTTAAATCAAGATACACTGAAAAGCAAAATTATGTAAAATATAAAGTTTTCTGAAAAATTAAGTGACATTATGCTTCAAACAATAACAAATATCTGCCAATGGGGTAAGACAAATAAAAAACGTGTTTTCCCTTTGCATTTAAGTTTATTTTTCTTACCGCACTTATATAAATTATATATGTGAAGTAAGTATAAACTTAATTAATTTTGGTCATTTGTTTAGAAAACCAAACTTAAGTACTTTTATTTCTCAAGTATCTTCTCATGTATCTTGCTTTAAGAATGTTTAAAGGGGTCATATGATGCGATTTCATTTTTCCTTTCTCTTTGGAGTGTTACAAGCTCTTGGTGCATAAAGAAGATCTGTAAAGTTGCAAAGACAAAA